GAGAGAGAGAGAGAGAGAGAGAGAGAGAGAGAGAGAGAGAGAGAATACTGATCTGATGTGCAACTTAGATACCAGCTTCCCTTACATTGCTGGGTCCTTGAGTCACACTTTGTGGTTTATGTTGGTATGAGCAATGTGTCTTGGCTATGATTTGGGATATAATTTATATCTTCCAGAACTTCCTTACCCCACCCCACTCCTGCATACAGTGACTATTGTTGGTCTAACTGCAACAAAGCTGAAATTTTGAAAGTATAAGAACCCAATTTTCTCTGCTGGCATCGTTATATATGACTGTGTATGTATGCATATATACATATATACCTTGATATTGTCCTATGTAGCATTAACTGCATACTTGAAATAGCCCAAAATCACTCGATAAAAATAGTCTTCATTGAGTAATTGTCTTTATCAAATTGGTCTGTGGAGATTTCTATAGGAGATTGTCTTGATGGTTAAAGCTGAGCCTAGTGAACTATGAGTGTACCATTTCCTGGGCAAGTGGTCCTGGGCTGTAGAAGAAAGATAGCTAAGCATAAGCATGTGGGTTATGCTTATCCAGTAATCCAGTTAGCAACCAGACTGTTCATTACAGTGGGGACATGAAGGTAGCAGGAATGTGTGCCTCCCTCTTGCTTTTCCTCTCCATCCCCCTTCTCTCTGTATGTGACTTTGTTAGCCTTTATATTAAAACTAAATTGTATCTAGGAATCTTGTGGATTTTCAAATTAAAGATTTGAAACTTAAAGTGTTTCACATAAGCAATTGCATCTGGAGGATACTAGCAGTGAACATGAAGTACAGATAAGTGTGATAGAGAATGTGTATCTCATTAGGTTGAGTCTAATTAGGATGGTGGCATTCTGGCTTTGACAATAGCTTTAGTGAAATTTTCCCATGAGTGTTGGGGAGGTGGTTCAGTAGATGAAGCACTTGCCGTGCAAGCATGAGGACCTGAGTTTGAATCCCCAGACCCCATGTAAAGTGTAATATCAACACTCCTACACGGAGATGAGAGGCAGAGGCAGTCAAGGCCATGGAAGAGCTGGTGTGTGCCATGAAGAACAACAACAACAAAAAAACACCTGTCCCAAGCCAAGGGGAAGGAAGGAGAAGACTAGAGTGTGGAGCTGTCCTCAGATCTCTACACATGTGCTGTGACATTTGCTTCTGAATATTCACTACATGTGTGCCACACACACATACTCACTCACTCCTGCTTCCTTTACTTCCCCACCATAATGGGCTATACCCAGGAACTTTGTATTAAAGGAAAAAAAATCCTTCTCCCTTAAGTTGCTTAAGGGAATAGATTGATCAATTAGATAAAAACCAGAGGCACAATGCATCATTGAAGAAAGTACATTTTGACAGACACATATTCATGCAGTATGTGAAATACTGACATCATATATCTGAGAAGAAAGAGAGAAGCACTGTCATGAATTGAATGAGAAGTCAGATATCTAATCTGCAGAGGACTCTTCCCTCAAATCACATGATCTACCACTCAAAAATCATCATTTCTTTTGTTTAATGTCATTTCCCATAACTGCTGCTGCTGTTTGCATATTGATAAATGTATCATTAGGTCTTAAAAATATAATTCACTTGGCACTCTCTCAATCTCTTAAACCTGTATATGGATGGAGAAAGTGTAAAAACATCTTTTTTCTCTCTGGACTGTAATGAGCATTAATTGGGTACTTATTGAATATAATACACTATGACAGGTTCTGATTAGTTAACAATAGGGAAAAGATCCAGAAAAGATCCCAGAAAGAACTTGAGAAAGGTGTTATAAAAATCATGCAGAAACAGTATCATTTTGCTAAATACTGATTGGAGTCTTACTACTCATAAAAACTTTGAATTTTTATAGCAGCTGTCAGAAAGTTTTGCAAGTGTCTCTAAAGACATACAGATTGAGAGGAGATGTATACAAATGTAAAACAAACAAGCAAATAGGAGTTTGAAACTCAAGTGATAAGGACAACTGGTCTACCTAGGCCAGGAGGAAAATACCATTAACATTGCTTTACAATGAAGTATATTCCTGCTAGAGTATACATTGTTCAAGAGGTATCCTACAAAGATTTATTGAGTGCCTAGCTAACCAAGATTCTCATGAAAATTTACCCTGATGATAGAAACAGATGGATGACTGTCATTTTAGTGGAATTTATATTTCCTATGATAACATGGCCAATTTTCTGGGACAAAGTAACCTCTGCAAGGCCAATCTTGCAATCCACTAGCATATCCTAGTAGTATAGAATCTAAGACATTTTTCAATCTCTCTCTTCTCTTCTCTTCTCTTCTCTTCTCTTCTCTTCTCTTCTCTTCTCTTCTCTTCTCTTCTCTTCTCTTCTCTTCTCC